GAGAGGGGAGAGGGGAGAGGGGAGAGGGGAGAGGAGAGGAGAGAGGAGAGAAGAGAGGAGAGAGGCAGAGTCCTGCCTGAGCTCAGAGAGAGCTTCCTCTGGTGTCTGGAGGGTGGGGATGCCCGTGGCTGTGTTCACACCAGGGCCCCCGGGTGGACCAAGTGGGTGGGGAAAAGAGGGCCAGGAGGGGGGTCACATGAGTATGGTACAGGTAGAACAAAGTGTGAGTTAGGGGTTAGCATTGGTAACAGTGCGTTTACCTTTCTGCTCCACTTCTACTTTAAGCATCGGAAGAGAGAGAGAAAACAAATTGAAAAAAAAATGTGCAAGAAAAAAAGAGAAAAAAAAAGAGATTAAATTGCTTTCGTTTCTTTTCTGGCCACTAGCCCCCTTTTCCTTTCCTTCCTCGCTCCTGCTTCCCCAACCCCTTCCGCAGCATCCGCTCAGCCCCCACCCCCAAGTCCCTTTCTTTGGGGCAGGGTGGGGCCACAGGGTGCCAGGGAGACAGTCCAGGAGAGGGGACACACGGGAGGGGGAGACAAAGAGACACGCAGGGTACAGGCAGCAGGACAGAGCTGTGGGCAGCATGGGGAGCCCCAGCTGGGGGGATCTGGCTGGGGGGACACCAGGGACAGGGAGCAGAGGAACCGCACGGCTCCCCCCACCCCTCCTGCTGCCCTCCTGCGAGAACCAGGGCCCCTGGGAAGGGGTTCAGTGTCTCCCAGGCCGGGGCGCCCTCCCAGCCAAGAGCATGGCTGAACTCCTTCCCCTTCTGCTGGCCTCGCCCAGGTCCAGCTGTGCCCCCCTCACCCCTCAGGAGCCCTCACAACCCAGAGGACGCAAACAGAGGGCAGTAGAGTCAGACGCAGACCGACAGAGGCACAAAGGCAGATGCCCTGGCCTTGGAGAGCACCGGGGGGGAGACAGAGGCAGAGTCGGGGTGGACACACACACACACACACACACACACACACGCACACACGCACGCACACACATGCTCCTACACCCTTGGGCCAGCCCCCAACCCTGGGACCAGGAGCCCCCATCTGCGCCTGCCCTGCCCACCGCCCCGATAGGTGGGCGGCACCTGGGGGAGGAAGAGGCCCGGTTAGACTGCACAGCTGTAAAGCAAATCCAGCGTTAGTCCAGCATCTGGGAGCCCCACATCCAGCACCCCTCTCCTTGGGAGTTCCTGCCCCTAGCCCCAGCCCCACCCTTCCCAGCACTGGGGTCACCCCAGCCTCTGAAGACCAACCCCCGCCAACTCTGTATCGGACCGAAAAGGCCTGAGCAGAGCAAGAAGTTCTGCACGGGCAGCACAGGCTCCCTTCCCAGCGCCTCGCCGCAGCCTGGCATTCGGACATGCTCAGGGAACATTTGAGGGACATCTGCTGGGCCTACCTGTCCCCACCTAGCTCTGTTGAGCCCACAACTCTAGACCCTTCTTCTGGAGGGCCAGGAGCTAGTGCAGCCCAGTCCACAACGCTTCCAGCTCATCCGCAGTATGCACGCTCCATCCCCAAAAGGCTCACTCCCCCATTCTGGGACCACCATCCCTGCACTGTTCTGCTGCTCATCCCCAGAGCCCTCATGGTCTCTGAGTGGTGGCCCTGGACACCCTGGTGGGGAGGCTCAGCCCCAGGAAGCCCCTAATCTCCTCTCCTCCCTGGCCCTGCAGTGCTTTCTCTGTACCTGCGTGGCATCTGCTTGCTCTGGACTGGGTGTGGACCAGGGAATTTTTCCTACTCTGTATTTTGTCTGCCTCAGAGAAGGAGTTCACCATCTGTTGCTATTTTTATTTTGATCATCAGTGCAGTAATAGTAATTGGTAGGAGGAAATGAGTAGTCACAACAAAAGCAGCAACTACTGCGTATCCAGTGCTTTAGGAAGTGCTGGGAACCACGCCAGGCACCTACCAGGCAGTCTTTTGAGAACCCTGGCTACAGATGGGGAAACTGAGGCTCAGTGAAGTGAGGCCATGAGGCCGAGGCCATGGCCCTCTACTACTGACCGCACCCCAGCAGGCTTGGCCTTCCCTCCCCCCAGTGGCTGAGTAGAGGCCCGGCTGGCCTCGGGAAGGGGCGTCATACCATTCCTGAGCACAGCTGGAACCGGGCGTGGGCTGGGCGCTGGGGTGAGGACAAGCCTCTGCCTTCGGGAGTCTGCGCTCAGCACGCAGAAGTCTGCTTGGGCGCCGGGGCCAGGCGCTTCTCACACATGCTCTCCCGGGCTCGTGCCGCCTTCTGCAGTGGCCCAGAGAAATTAGGTCATTTGCTCCGGGTTTCAGAGCCATAAAAGTTAAGAGCCCATAAAGCCTATGCCCACCCGACTTCCCCTCTGTTCTAGATCCTTCCTACCGCCCTGCTTCCCCCCCATTGCCCCTGCTGCGGGTGGGCAGTGTCCCCAGTGCTGTAGGGAGGCTTCAGGTAGCACATGGGCATCCCCCTCAGGTGGTGGCGGAGGCCTCAGGCCCTGCAAGGAAAGGGCAAGGACTAAAAGAGGAAAGTTACAGAAGCACATAAGCAATCCTGTTTCCATGAGTGAGGAATCCTTGTCACCTGCGAGGAGAAATCAAAGGTTGGGGGTTGGGGTGGGGAATGTTGGGGTGGGAGAGGAGGGGGAGTTACGAGGTCTCCTGCTCCTCTACTCAGACACCCTGGTGGCCCTGCCCCCACCCCCTCTGCCTGGAGGCCCTACCTCCAGGTTGGCTGTTTGAAGCCAGGTGGAGGGAACAGAAGAAGGGATCGTGGGGAGGAAGGAGGGAAGAGAAAGGGTAGGAACAAAGGGTGATGTTAAAGGATGGGGTGCTGAGGAGGAGAGACCTTGTCTTTGCTCCCCCGGCTAGGTGCAGGACAGCCAGGCTCCTGGCTCCCCAGATCACCTTCCTCCAGTTTGGTGGGAGCCAGCCACTCTTAGTCCAACATGGTGGCACTTCCTTTGTAGACAGGAAGTGCTCTCATGATAATAAGCAAACCAACTGGAAAATAGGAATCTGTTGATGATGCCCTTCACACCAACTCTGCCACAAGGCCTCAGAGGGTGGTCTGCCTCTCTAGGGAGATACGGTCCAGTTTCCATGATGGGGAAGGGACTAGCGTGAGAGTATGTGAGGGAAAAAGACAAAGGACAGGGAGTTGGAAGAGGGAGGAGGGTGAGTGAGGGAAGAGCAGGTGTGTGGGCGGTGGGTGGGTAGGCAGAGGGTGTACCAGGAGGAGCAACAGGGTCAAGAGGAGATATAAGCAAGCTGAGCACAGGAGTGTGACCTTGAAGTGTGCGTGCATGAGAAAGTGGGCTGAGTGTGCCCCGTGGAAAGGTGCAGAGTCTGTGGGGCATGGGAGCAGGTACCAGGTGTGCACGAGCGTGTCTGGGAACAGAGCATGTGTGAGGAAGGGGCAGGCCCCGTCATGTGGGCTACATGTACCGGGTCAAGGTGTCTCCTCCTCACTTGCAACGTGGGGGAGGGCCCACACCCGCAGAGGAACAAGATGACTCACTGTAAGGGACACAGTCGTACTGCACCTCCAGATACTTGTAGGTCCCAGGACAGGGGTCGGGAAAGGCATCAGAGCCGGCAACCACCACGCACTGGGTGCGGTTGTTACACCTGTGGAAGAGAAAGGGATCTGGGGAAGATGGACCTAGACCTGGGGTTCAAGGTCGGGAGAGGAACAAGTACCCCAAACTGGGAAGGCGGAAGGAGCTGGGGACCAGGGCCAAAGGCTGGGCTTGAGCGTCATCTTCCCTCCCTCCCTCTCTCCCTTTGTTCTGTTTCCCACTTGAGCCTCAACCTGGAGTCCCCTCAGGGCTGAGATAGCAGCATTACCCCACAAGCAGCTGCACCCCTTCCACCCTAAGTGCCACTGCTACTGTTACGAGCCTGGTATTTTCTTCCAGTAGACTTTAGAGCCCCTGCTTTGTTCATGTAAGAGAAAAGTGTGTGATGTAGTACGCTAGTGGCCTTCCTATTCACCCAGGGCTTGTAGTGGCCGGTGAGGCCACCTTGGACTTCCTCCTGCACCTCCTGCCCTCAGGACGCAGCACAGCCAGGATCTCTGATTCCTCATAGGGAATCCGGGGCCCCAGCCACTTCTCGGGGACCTGGCTGGCACACAGAGCAGTCCTGTGGAACAGCCAGAGAGCAGGGCTTCTCCTTAGCCACTGGTCCCCACACCATGGGACAGTGCATGCTGAGCCTTCCAGCCAGCCAGGGACAAGCAGAGCCTGGATCCTCCTTCAGTCCTGCCTTCATCAGAGAGTGCCAAGTGCTAAGTACAAAACTCCAGAAAGGGTAAAGCATCTCTCAAGGAGTGAGAGCCAGTAAGGGGCAGGGGGCAGAGGGCCAGCGAGGGCAG